GGAAGAGTGTTGTTTTGATGGAATTTGATACCTTACACTGTATGGGGGAATAAACTCTATCTGTGGTCCTTCACTAAAACGGTAATTGCACAGAATAGTGTCAAACAGCTGTGTGTGTATGGAATATCCTGTCACAAAATATTACGCAACGGTAATAGTTTGATCGCAGTGTTTACATGGCTGTACTGCACTCCAATAATGCGACTAAGATCAGCAGACTCCACATGTCTTAATTCCATTTCTGTTCAGTACAATTATGAACTTAATCATATTAAATCAATTTAAAATCGTTGTTCACATGGTAGATTCCTAATCAGAGCATTGTCTTAATCATATTAAAATCGAATTATTGGTGTCTATGTAAACATACACGGTAACATGTTCAGAACCATTCCTGCTCATCTACTATAATCTCAACTCAAAATTTCGCATCTTGTGATTGGACCATTGTTTATGCGCATATTGCTGTATTGATTTTGATACAGTCCTAATATTATATATAAATAACTGCCATCAATTGAAGACATGCTTTGCCCACATAAGGCATAGTTATGACTAACAGCTGAGGTTAACCAGGCAAACACTGTTACTTTTAAGTCCTTTCCCTCCAATCACCTGGCTCCATTCCCTCTTTTTTATGATCCAAATAATTCCACATGGATAAAATCAAAACCTATTCAACAAGCCTGTTCTTACTGTTGAATATGTCAGATTACTGTAGTACAATAGGCTGTGATTGGTGATTGAAACTGACTTTAAGTTGTGCTGCTTCAGAAGATAAATCTACAGAACTGGAAGTCTGAATACACGTCTTATGTGTTGCCCATGGAAAAACTGAGATACGAGTTGGCAAATAGACAAAATATATTTTTCAAAACCTGGAATCCATTAAGGCTTTTTATTGGTAATGTAGACTGTAACTTCTGATGGGCTGAATTGGTTTGGCAAGCGCTAAGCTGTGGAGCCTACACACTTCTCTATAATTATTTATTTGATTTAATGAATTTTTTTTATGCTTTCTGGAAGAAATTGTATTATGTTGTGTCATTCTGTGTCATAAAAGCAATTAAAAATCTTCCACGTTTGAAGTCAAAATTATTATACCTTGTGTGATTTTTTTTTCTTCAAATATTTCACAAATTATGTAATAATGTAATAAGAGCAAGACATTTTTCAAAGTATTTCCTATAATATATATATATATATTAGGGTTGGCCTGAATATTCAAAACTTAAGGTCGTGAACTAGCAGTGTTATGCTGCTTTGAAACATCACTGTCACTGTAAACAACAGGCTAATAAAAATATAACAAACCAGCAATCTTCTTGCTGTGAGGTGGTCAAACTACCCACTGTGCCACTGTGACACCCATTATTTTTATCATTATTATTATTAATATTATTATTATTATTATAATTAAATAAAAATTAACAGGAGGAGGTGTTTAAAACCTTCGTTCTCCGTGACACTAGGCTGAATATCTTTGCAGATGGACAGGGCTGGCGCGTCCATAGAGGCGACCTAGGCGGCCGCCTAGGGCGGCAGTATAGAGAGGGCGGCGTCCGCAACACCCAGTTATATCCGCGCATAGGGTGGCAGAATAGAGGTCCGCGACACCCGCGCGTCCTCAGTTATATTCGCGCATAGGGCGGCAGAATAGAGGTCCGCGACACCCGCGCGTCCTCAGTTATATCCGCGCATAGGGCGGCAAAATAGAGGTCCGCGACACCCGCGCGTCCTCAGTTATATCCGCGCATAGGGCAGCAGAATAGAGGTCCGCGACACGTCACTTCATTTTCATAACCGGTCACTTTCGTTTTCACATTGGGGTTGAGGGCGGCGTGATCGTCCTCTGCCTAGAGCAGCAGTTCAGCTTGCTCCTTATGCACATTATGCAAATTGCATCTGTCCTGTCAAGTCGTCCATCCTTAAATCCATAATGTTGCCATACTTTAGATTTAAAACTCAGTGGGGACTAAAATGTTTGTTTTGCTTCTCGCGCTTTCTGAGGGCGCTCCACTAGCTTCATCCGCACACCTGATACACTGAGTTGTAGTGTAAGTGTACACATCCGCAAATCCGTTGCTAAGGCTTACTTTATGTTGGTCGATTAAATTATGCGCCAAAAACAGGTCGACAACACTTGTTAATAAATAAAAAATACATTCTATATTAAAAATATAAGCTGTATCTTGGAAAAACCGATGCATCTCGCAAAAACCGATGCATCTCGATTTGCTTCCAAAATTTCATTCATCCTCTGCTGCTCTACCGATGCACTCGCATCGTGCACGCGCATGACCGCGTATCGATACATATCGATTAATCTTCCCATCCCTAATATATATATATATATATATATATATATATATATATATATATATATATATATATATATATATATATATATATATATGAATAAAGTTGTTTGGCTAGAATAAAAGCTGTTTAAAAAAAAAAAACATTTTAATGTCAAAATCATTAGCCCCCTTAAGCAATATTTAATTTTGATTGTCTACAGAAGAAACCATCATTATACAATAACTTGCCTAATTACCCTAACTTACCAAATCCTTTAAATGTCACTTTAATTCCTAGTTCAGACTGCGTGATTTTAGCCCCGATTTTGGCTCGGCGACAGGTTTTGAGAAATTGCCAACAAATGCCTGAAACCACAGGCAAATCGCTGCTCGTGCACGTGATTGACAATCACACAGTATGAACTATTAGCAACGCGATCTGAGAGAAAAGCCAATGAGTCGCCGATGCCTGCGAGATATTTGGCTTGCTAAATATCTGGAGCTGTCGGCGATTCAAATCATGCCGTGTGAATTGAGTTTTGACTGAAAATAACATCGGCGATCACCTAAAGCCAATGAGAGAGCAGCATCCACTTGTGTGTATACCTGATGCAATCCAGCGGGAGGTTGGGGGAGAAGATAAAAGCGCTCATTTGCGGTTTATTTGGACCCACGAAATGGAGGAAACACTAGTGGAGGTTTGACAGGACTCAGGAGCACCCGTGTCTGTTTAACGTTTCATACAGAAAGAAATTAGTTTATTATCAACTTAAGTTGAGGAGAAATGGCTAATTCCCTTTAAATCCATGTGAGCAAATATGTACATTTTTTACCCCATTAAAGGCTTCTTTCTCATTATGTAGTTAATAACAAAAGATATAGGCTACTACGTGTTTTTGGCTGTGAGACATAGATTGGATGAAGTTGTCGGTGATTCTTTCTATTGTAAAGTCATGCAATGTGAAAGTCCCTGTCGCCGATCCATCTTGCAGTGTAAATAAAGCAGCGACGACACGCAAGCCCAGATAGTCATGCAGTGTGAAAACATCTGTGACACGACTACTTTCTAAATTATGCAGTCTGAACTCAGCATAAGCTGAAAACAGTATCTTGAAAATATCTTGTACAATATTATGTACCGTCTTCAAGGCAAAAATAAAATAAATCAGCTATTAGAAATTAGTTATTAAAACTATTATGTTTACAAATGTGTTGAAAAAAATCTTTTTTCTTCTAAACAGAAATTGGGGGAAATATACACTACCTAACAAAAGTCTTGTCGCCTATGCAAGTTTTAGAAACACCAAATAAAAACTTGACTTCTAGTTGATTATTTTGGTATCAAAAGTGGCTTACATGAAAGGCAAAGGCCTCTAGATTACGCTTATTTTACCAAAATAAAATATAATCATGCCTTGATTTTCAACTATTTAATTAGGACATTAAAGTCTGAATTTGCTTAGACAAAAGTCTTGTCAATTAACATAAATAATGTACAGTATAGACTATAAAGTCATGGTGCAGTGGAAAAAGAATGAATATTGTGTATGACTCCCATTAGCTTGGAGAACTGCATTCATACATCTCTGCAATGACTCAAAAAACGTATTAATAAAGTCATCTGGAATGGCAAAGAAAGCGTTCTTGCAGGACTCTCAAAGTTCATCAAGATTCTTTGGATTCATCTTTACTGCCTCCTCTATTTACCCCAGACATGCTTAATAATGTTCATATCTGGTGACTGGGCTGGCCAATCCTGGAGCACCTTGACCTTTTTTGCTATCAGGAACTTTGATGTGGAGGCTGAAGTGAGAAGGAGCGCCATCCTGCTGAAGAATTTGCCCTCTCTTGTGATTTGTAATGTAATGGGCAGCACAAATGTCTTGATACCTCAGTATGTTGTTGTTGCCATCCACTCTGCATATCTCTCACATATCCCCATACTGAATGTAACCCCAAACCATGATTTTTCCTTCACCAAACTTGACTGATTTCTATGAGAATCTTGGCTCCATGTGGGTTCCAATAGGACTTCTGCAGTATTTATGATGATTGGGGTCCAGTTCAACAGATGATTCATCTGAATCTTTTGCCACTTTTCCAAGTGATCAACTAGAAGTCAAGTTATTATTTGTTGCTCTTACAACTGGGATCGACGACTAGACTTTTGTCAGGTAGTGTATACAGGAGGGCTAATAATTATGATTTCAACTGTATAAAACTTTCATGGAGGTTGTAGTAAAGCTATGGAACAACCATTCTTGCCTTAGGACAATATTGATCCTCTTCAAATGTTAACCACTGTAGTTCGTCCTGCATTCGACAGTTTTGTATTTTTATTTGTTTAATCTTTTTTACTTAATAAGTTTTAATATAAAAATCCACACCCATCATATCCTCAAAAAAAAAAAAATCCAAACAAAACAGAACTAAACAGAAACCCGGCGTCAGTGTATCGATTTAGTATTGCATTGCATTTCCGTTCACATCCCGTCCCCACCTCAATTAGCTCTAAGTAGCTCTGACCAGTGTAACCGACTCTAATGCCATGCCTGACCACCCTTAGCCAGCTTTGATGAGAATATGACACCTTTGGGGAAGGACAGCGAGCTGAGTGATGCAGCTTCATAATTAAAGAAGGATTATCCAACATACGAATTTGAGAGAAAGAGAGAGAGAGAGACACAGGCAGACACCTACCTTCACAGGAGAGGCCATGAGAAGTGACCCCTGAGAGGCTGTCCCGACAGACGTTACAGAAGGTGGGGCGAGCGTGGGAGCAGGCATACCAGTTGTGCATCCCTGAGAAATGTTCCACATTAAACTGTGCCGTCTAGCAAAGGAGAAGTTAAAACAAATTGGCAGACTTTTTTAGAGACCCTAAAACAAAGGCTACACTTTCAGCTCACATGCAACACGTGTATAATAGCGTGATGTCTACTAGACGCATGCCTCCTGCGTGCAACACCACACCACAACTCTCCCTGACAACAGTTTTCCTCCTGTAACATCTGCGCTCCCGGAACGGCCATCTACAGATGCACACCGATGCAACAGGACTGAGATTTTGGAAGTTCATCAGGGAGTTTGACATGTCTTGAATGATAAACAGATTGAATAGGGAGGATTGTGCCCCTAGTTTGGGATGCCAGGGGATCGCTGGTGTTCTGGGTGTGGTATTGCAGAACACGGGGGCTGAGTGTCTTACATAACCATCTGGTATCAAAGTGAGCATACAGTCCGCACTTAAGTTAGTGGCGTGCAATAATTCAGATGTTAAACTGCAGTGCATGCACACGTGCACAACTAGCTGTGAAACAGAAAGAAGCGGACATAAACAGAAAATAATTATTTGCATTATGCATCTCGTTAACACAGAGAAGAAAAGGAAATCTGTATGGAAGCAGGATTTAAACTTCATTTAGACCTGATTGACAACACTAACGGCGGGATTCTAAGGCATGCTTCTCATATTCAGCATCTAATTTTAAGAAAGTGTGGTTGAGAAACATGCAGAACGCTCAAAGTACGCCCCTTACCTCGTAATGCTCTCTGGACTGAACCGATTTCAGCGAGCTGATCCAGTCCTCCATTTCTTTCCTGTTCTCGGCGCACAGGATAAGCCTTCGAAACGGTGTAATTACCTACAGGGAGACAGAGATCCGGGGAGATGAGAGTGCTGCGTCTCGCCCTCCTGCCTGCCTGACTGCGACTGACAGCGAGATCCCCCTCCTGCTCTTTAAGACAAGACTCGGGACAAGCCTCGCCTCCTCCTCCTATCCTCTTTAACGGCCACCTCCACCCCTCAGGTCTTTTCCTCTCTTCTCGTTTCGGATGCTTGAGCGAGATTCGGGCTGACAGGCGAGAGCCTGAGAAAATGCTAAAAGCCTGTTTCATAACAGGGGCAGCCCTCCATGCGAGTCAACCTCTGCGCTTTTAATACTGCTATAATTTATTGATAACACCACCCTTAACAACTCCACACGCCGGCGGTGCAGCCACAGAGGGGCTGTTTTTTGCTGCAGCACACGCAGCGAGGCAGGCAGTACAGTTAGCAGGGAATTGGAGATTATACCACCTACACCGAAACAACAGCGCATATTCCAACATATACAGTTAAAGTCAGAATTATTAGCCACCCTTTGAATTTATTATATTTTTTTTTTGTAATTTGAAGCAAAGATGATATACTACATGCACAAATGCATATAAATGTTCATGCATTAAAAAAAAAATCTAAATATTAAAAACTTTTAAGAATTTAAGATGCTGATGACCGATAAACGCATCATGACAGTTTTGTGAAAAGGGTCTATTAACTAAAAAACTGTGAGTTTGTTATGCATTTTGGCATTTAACACATAGCTAATATCAGATTATGATTTCCAGTACTGGGTTGCAGTTGAAAGGGCATCCTCTGTGTAAAACATATGCTAGATCAGTTGGCGGTTCATTCCGCTGCGGCAACCCCTGATAAATAAAGCGACTAAGCTAATGAATGAATGAATGAATGATAATATCAGAGAGTAAAATATAAAAAAATGTAAATTTGGAAAACAGAGATTTTTCAGCATGCATATTACTGTATGTGTTCAGTCTATAGGCATCCACAAATGCTTTCAACTAAAAACAACAATGTTGGACGGGATGTGCAGAGGCACATCGTGTTTCTTTCAGAATTTCCTGACTTGCATAATACAGCATGTTCAGTTATTTCTGTGGCTCAGTATGTACCCGAAAATAGTCCCCAGCTAGGTAACTAGGTAACAGTGCTGTGTAATATCATTGCACCTGTTGCAACCATGGTACAGCAGCAAAGTTCATTGATTATTACTCCAAAATAAAAGTTTATAGCCATATCAACCTAAAACATGGCAACTTTTCATTTTCTTTTGGTCTTAATACATGATAGTTTGAGAAGAATTAAGGGTTAAATTGAAAAAAAAAAAAAATAAAAAAAAATAAATATATATATATATATATATATATATATATATATATATATATATATATATATATATATATATATATATATATATATATATATATCAAAACACTTTTTTTGAGTGAGATGCTAATGGTCTAATCTGATTCAATGATTTATGCTAAGCTGAGCTATGATATTGCCTGACTTGCATTATTACAGCATGTTCAGTCGCTTGTGCAGATCAGTATGCAGCACCTGAAAATAGTCCCAAGTAATATCATTGCACCGTTTGCAGCCATGGTACAGCAGCAAAGTTCTTTGATTATTATGCTAAAATAAAAGTTTCTAGGCATATCAACCAAGAAAATAGCAACTTTTCATTTTCCTTTGGTCTTAATACATGACATAGTTCAAGAATCAAGGGTTACAATGAAAAAAAAAATCCAATATCGCACTTTTTTTTTCTTTTTCTTTTTTTTTGAGTGAGATGCTAATGGTCTAATCCGGTTCAATTATTTATGCCAAGCTATGATATTTCCAGACTTGCATAATACAGCATGTTCATTTCTTTTTGCAGATCAGGGGTCTGTTTTTCGCAGCTTGCTTAAATGATCTAAGATGATTTGTCTTGGATCTTTTAATCTTGATAACTGATCTCTGGCTAATTTGATTCTTCAAATAGGTTCGTGAATTAGATTAAAATGTCTGGATGGACTGATCTGAGATCACTGCGTGTGTTGTGAAGAACGAAACGATCCTGGATCGTGTCAAACCGTCAATAACCAAATTCAGCTAACTGAGTAATCCATGTACAAAGAACGGACCCCAGTATGCAATACCTGAAAATAGCCCCCAGCTAAGTAACTAGGTAACAGTGCTGTGTAATATCATTGCACCTGTTGCAGCCATGATACAGGAGCAAAGTTAATTGGTTATAACACCAAAATAAAAGTTTCTAGCCATTTCAACCTAGAAAATAGCCACTTTTAATTTTCCTTTGGTCTTAATACATCATTTAGTTGCAGAAGAATCAAGGGTAAAAAAAAAATATATATATATATAATATATATATATATAATTTAGAAATAGCAACTTTTTATTTTTCTTTGCTCTTAAACACTTTCCCAGTATACTGAATTGCAGCTGGAAGGGCATCCGCTGTGTAAAACATTTGCTTGATAAGTTTGTGGATAATTCCACTGATTCGCCCCCTGATGAATAAAGTGACTAAGCCGAAGGAATCTGAATGAATGAATTAATGAATAAATGAATCAATGAATTAATGAATGAATAATACATGTCCTAATGCATCTTAAAGAAGAGTCAAGTGTTAAACAGAAAAAAAAAAAGTTCAGAATATATATATATATTTTTTTTTTTTTTGTGAGATGCTAATGGTCTAATCCGATTCAATTATTTATGCTAAGCTAAAAATGCCCTGCCAGACTTTGAGATTGGCAGATTTAATCTAAAAATAATCAAACTCAACTGTTTAACTCCAGGGAAGTTATAAAATAAGCCTATTTCCAAAAAGCAGTGTAAATTTCATTGCTGATTTGAGATCTTGCTTGTGCTATTCTTAAAGCTGTTGCATTACAACACTGTTTTAATGTCTGCTTGCTTCTAATCTCTGCATTGACAGTGAGCTGGCATCACAGATCCACCTTTAGCACAAGTGTCAGTGTTCTCGCTAATTATAAAGAGCTGAAAAACAAGCTTGTATTCCTGGCTGCGATAATGAGCTCGCATGAAGGCAATAGATAAAACCCATCTGTTCTTTTTATAAACGCCTCAAACATAAGTTTCAGCTCATTTTTGGAAAATCAACCATACCCATCTGGCATGGTGGGGGAACGAATCGTCTCTAATTAGGCTCTGCCTAGCTGGCAACTGCAGTTTTCAGAGGTGTGGTTATCAAACAAACAGCACTATCTGTGATACACAACGCCATACAATCTCCCTATGAGAAAACGCACTTGCTGTGGCTGCGCATGAGTGGATTACAGAGGAGAATGCACTAAAGATATCCATTAACAGCAGCGGAGGTGTAAAAATTACAAACGCAAGTTATGTGGATTTCAACATTGCAGCTCATTATTTTTATTTTTTTTGCCATTTGGATGGCGATTTACGCTCCTACCAAAGCTTGTTATTTCTTCTTGTTATATTTCCAGCAATGTTTCATCTTTTAGTTTGATTACCCCATAACATACACAAAGTCATTAATGACCTCTGTCTTTATGTCAGCATGACTTCCTTTACCATTTGACAAAGTTGAAATAACTTTTTTATTTTTATTTCGGCAAACAAATTTATTTTCATGGTTATTTCTCATTTTATGTTATCATTATTGTGTTGTTATTTTTGTCAATGTTGAAAATCGTTTACTCATCCTCAAGCGGTTCTAAACTTAGAAATGTGTTGAAAAATCAAAATAAGACATTCTGAAACATGTTGGGGGAAAAAATAGCCATTCATAGTAGGAACAAAAAATACCATGGAAGTCAATGGCTGTTGGTTTTCCCCATCATTATTCAGTGTTTAAAAATACATTTCAACGTGTTTCAAACTATCTTCTTTTGTGTTAAACAGGAAATAATACAAAATAAAATGAAGTTTATTTAGTACATGATGTAGCTACAGAATAGTAATGCTTTAAAAAGGAAAATTATCAAAACTTTTTTTTTTTTTTTTGCATTTTTGAGTGTTATGCTATTGATCTAATTTGATTTAATGATTTAAGCTAAGCTAAGATAAAAAATCTCCCACCAGACCACCAGCCCTGGAGAAATAACTCATTAAGTTTATTAAATACATGATGCAGCTACAGAATAATCAGGCTTTAAATAAAAAAAAAAATGTCGAAACTCTTTTCAATTTTTGGAGCAAGATGCTAATGGTCTGATCTGATTCAATGGTTTAAGCTAAGCTAGACTAAGCTAAAACTGCTCATAATCTATGGAAGTCAATAGTTACAGATTTTCAACGTGTTTCAAAATATCTTCCTTTGTGTTTAACAGGAAAAATAACTGAAAAAGATTATTCAATGCATGATGTAGTTACATACATACATACATACATACATACATACATACATATATATACATACATATATATGTATATATATATATATATATATTAGGGGTGTCAAGATTTCGATTTTTAATCGAAATTGATCGAAATTCATGCTCAATTTCGATTATCGAATCAAAATATAGAATCTTCGATGCTGCCACGCCCCATTGTCACGTCAGCTTGGCTTGCCACCGGGAAAAAAACAGGCTTGTTGAAGTGCTTGTTAAACTGCAGAAGAGAACTTAAACCCTCTCCTCTTTCAATGAAGTCGCCGGTGTTTAAGCATTTTGCTTCCAGTGAGTTATGTTGACAACGTTCGTGTTGTCGACAAAAAAAAACACAGTTTTGCAAGCTCTGCTATGTACGTATTACGTACGGTTTGTCCGATAGACAACACCGGCATCGCGATCCTCCGCCCGCCCCCGATGCAAATCCGCTCGCGAAAAGTACACACTCAGGCCCTGTTTACACTGTCTTTGTGGCGTGTGGCAGCCCTCCTTCCTCTCTACCTCTGAAAATGCACATCACGTGACCACACAGACGCACATACAGCCTTGCGCTCGAGACAGCAGGTCCAGGCAGTCAGAGGACTGCTTCAATCTTTCACTCACTTGTACTTAGTCATTTTAGCGCACACCTCAG